TAATTATTTCAGTGTTTCCCCAAAGTTCTATTAGTAAAAGAAACTTATGGAAATAGCATATGTTCATTTCAGAAATTCAGCAGAGAAACATATAAAGCAGAATGTGAAAATCAATCTTAACTGCCACCAACATTTCCCTATTTTCCCCACCCCAGCATTCTCACTCCCCAGAGGTAATCTTTTCTAATACTTTGTTATGTATCCTTCGAGGCCTGCATTGCTGTACCTCTGTACTCCTTCTTGTCAACAGTTCATGTACTGTGATACCAATTTCTTTTGGAGGCCCCCACACTGGGTGGGTGGTGACTTCATCATTATTGACTTGTCAACACTGTCATCATTGAGGAGTGCCTGTGAAGATGAATCTAACTTACGACCTGGCCTCAGGTCGTTTTCAGTGCAGTAGGAGAGAGATGTAGGTGATAACTATAAAGGTGAAAGAGGTGGAAGAGAGCAAGAGAGGAAGTGCTATAGGAGTCATAGGGTAAACAAAAACCACTTTTGATTGGCCAAGAGGCGATAATTGAGCTATACCCTGACAGACAGACAAGATTTGCATTGTGGGGGGAGGGAGGCAAAAAGCAGATGTGCTGGCCGGAGAAAGGCACAGAGATGCGAGGAGTTCACAAGATGATTCCATTTTTCCAGACTGTTGCATGCTCGCACGGGAGTGGCAGCCAATAGAGATGCAAAGGTGGTTTCGGGGAAGAATGAACACCTTTATGATAAACTTTTGAAAATTTTTGAGCAGGATAGTGGCTACCTAGAGATGTGCCTTAGGAACATCAATCAGACATTGGAGGGGGTAGAGTGTCAGTCACAGGCTTTGCAGGCATTTGGATGAAGAGTTATCATGAGGTGTACTGGCCTTAGAGCTCTTACTCAAATGGGACCTGTAGGTCTTAGCAGCTACCATGTTCCATCAACTCTTAGGAGGCCTTGATTGTTAGACACACCTGATTTTAGCTGCCAGTAGGGGAGGAAAAACACCCCAATTAATTTTAAGACTACACCAATTATTAAATACATTATGATTTTGGAGATCACAATAATGAAGAAATGTGCATCATAAAATCAGTAATATAAGGTCATTGCATGGGCACAGGGAAGAGATGGGATGTGCAAGAAAGAGAGTTAAGAAATGAAAGAGGGGGTGAAATCAAAGACAAAGTGGAGAAGTTGACCTTGAAGAGGAGGTGAAGGAGTGCGTCTTCCCCTGCCTCGAGTTAAAGAAATGATTGAGTACTGGCCCAGAGAAGTTTAGAAGCTGAGAGGCTGACATATTTAGCAAACTCATATTGAGTAACCTCCATCTTGGAAAAGAGAAGGCAAGGTCATCTGCAGAAAGAGTGACAGTGGTGGGTTTGAGAACTCGGGACTTAAGAGTGAAATGGTTTCAGGTAAGTGGGGCATGAAAGATGGTTGGTTAGACAGGACTAAAACAATTGCCATCAGAAATGAGGTGGCCCAACAAAAAAATGATTACATTGTGTAATGTTGAATGTACTAATTATCCTGATTTGGGGGCATTACATATTGCACACAGGTATTGATATTCAATGCTGTACCCCACAGATATGTATAATCAATTATGTTTCAATAAAAAAAGAAAAAAGAAATGAGGAGCCCAGTTAACGTTGCAAAGCATGGATTATTAAAGAAACTAGCTGGCACTATTTTATGACTTGTCCAGGAGCACTTGTTACCTGGAGAGAAGGATGGAAGAGAACAAAGGGTGGGAGACTGGCCGGACAGGTACAGCAGAAGGACAGAAAAGCCAAATAATCTAAGTTTCTCCTAAGGGATAGCGTTTGGCTTGCTGTGGAGTTCAGGGTAAGAAATGAGAGGTGAATTCAGAAGAGGAGTGATGGATAAATGGAGATTTTTTTTTTCTTTTAATTGGTGGAGGACAGGGGGTTAAGGATTGGAAAGTATAAAGAAGGCGAAGAACAAATCTTTTGAAGAGGAGTAAGTAAGAAAGTTGATTTGGGAATTTCAAAATTTAAGATCACAGAGGTGGAGTTCTGAGGGTTGAGGCTTGAGGATGAAGACGTGTTCTTTCTAAAGCACAGATGGGAGTATATCTCTGTATGGCTGCCAGGCTCCCCCATGCATTTCATGATAAAGACTTCTTACAGGACAGGGCTCATCACAAGCTGGCCCCATCCTACCTTCCTGTCATCTCTTTGTGTGAACCCCATGTTCTAACCACACCCAACTCTTCTCTGTGCGTAGGGTCCTCAAGACTTTTATCTACCTTTTTGCCTTGAGGCATGCTATTCTCTTTTGTATGAAATGCTCTTCCTCCTCTTCTCTGCATTGTAGCCACCTACCCATCCTCAAGACCTAGTTCAGGTGGCTCCTCTGCGACATCTTGCCTGGCTCCTGCCAGCAACATTGAGCATACCTTCATCTGTGTCCCCTTATACTCTGTCCATGCGTCCTGTGGCATTTTACCACAGGATATTCATTTATATTTCTTTCTCCAGTAGATTGTGACCTCCTTGAAGTCAGAAACTGTCTAATTCTATTCTTTACTCATGGTGCTAAGCACATGTTAAGTGCTTATGTCTGCCTTTTGTTGTGCTCTTTTGAGTGAATGAACTAATCCAGTACATGTCAGATGTTACTGTGCATTCAGCTGGAGAATATTGTTAAATTTCAGATTCTGATTTAGTAAGTCTGAGGTGAGGTCTGAGATTCTGTCTTTCTAACAAGCTTCCAAGTGGTGCCTGTGTTGCTGGTACATGAGCTAATTCACAGTGTCTTGCCCAAGAAAATAGCAGAAGTGGAGCAAAGAGAGGCCATCAGAAATGAGGAAGTAGGGCAGTTAAGAGGCTTGTGACTGGGAGAAACCTTCAGGATGAACCTGGAGCCCCCAAAATAATAGCAGGAGATCATGCAGGAGGAGAGGCTCAAACCGTGGGCTAAAGCAGGAGGTCGTGGTGGAGGGTGGTTGTCAACATGGAGAGAGGGTACAGTTCCATGACTTAACGTTTCAGTAAAGAAGAGGTGGTGAGATGTGGGCGACCACAGCAAGGTGGGACTGCAGCAAGGGTCTGCACTCTGGAGGAGAAGGCTGGCGAGAGGATGGGGCATTCGGAGGCGTGTGGGGCCTGTCTCCCTCCAGCACTTATTCACAGAAGGAGGGCATTTGCACCAGTGCGAACAGGACTGGTGAGGGGACAGGAAAGGCTGGGTTATAGGGTGGGGGAAGCCCCTGAAGAAACAGTGGGTACTGGAATTTGACAAGGGATCGTTTCCTGATGTTAAGTTTCTAGATTCTAGTGTGAAAATTCTTTTTTTTTTTTTTTTCTAAACTCATAGATGACAGAGAAAGTAGCACTAATAAGCATTCTATTCCCACAGTCTCACAGGTCTGATCATTCTAAGGATGGGTTCAGCAAACCTAACTTTTTAAAGTTCTACTGTGCAAAATAATGCAGTATATACTTTTATCACATATGAAAAATGCAAAGAAAAATAAAATATTTAAATGCAAACCTAACTTTTTAAAGTTCTACTGTGCAAAATAATGCAGTATATACTTTTATCACATACGAAAAATGCAAAGAAAAATAAAATATTTAAATCTCACACTAAGCCCTTTCCCCCACAATGAGTAATCAGTATTTACAGCCCGACATGTACTCTTCCAGCTTTCATTCATGCAAACTTAGTACACATGGACAGGAATTTTTTAATTCTATAATGGGATTTTCATATGCATGGCATTGTGCAGATTGTTTTTCTCATTTAGGAGCGTGTCATAAACATCCCTCCAGGTCAGTGGACAGAGCTCTAACTTATTTTTTTCCTGGTCATTTTTAAATAGCTGTGTATAAATATAGATGTCGCATAATTTGCTCTGCCATTCTCCTTTTGATGGACAATTGGGTGATTTCCAATTTTTGTTACCACAAACAATATAACCAAGAAAAAGTCATATTGTCACCAGTTCCTCAATAACGTAAGTCTGTGACTTTAGTCATACATATCAAAAATAACTTTTTATATCAATGGCATCTTTTAATGAAGCACAGCAGTTTGTAGACCTTTGCTATCCCATACAATGGCCACCAGTCACATGTAGCTGTTTAAATTTAGTTAAATAAAATTAGAATTCCATTCCTTACATCAGCCTCATTTCAGGTGCTCAATAACTATGTGTGTGTAGCGGCCACTGTTAGAAGAGGCCATTTCTATCCTTGCAGAAAATTTTCCTGGACAACCTGGACTCGACTGTCGAATGTCACATCTTAAAGGAGAGCTTACTTTTCAATGAGTTAGTGTTTTAAGGAGAGCCCTTTAAAAAAAGTAAAAACTTTGTATCTTTGTCGGTTGCCTCTCCAGTTACTTCAATGAGAATCAATATCCAGATGAAGCAAAGAGAGAAGAAATTGCAAATGCTTGCAATGCAGTTATACAGAAGCCAGGTAAGGCACAGGCCCCTCTCAGCTCTGCAGCGCTGTCCTCGGGGATGCATCAGCACTTGGCGTCACCACATCTCAGTCCTCATCCCAGCTGAGTGCTGTCAGCTTAGTCTGCGCCGTCATTCTGCAAGTAGTCACTGCCCTGTCCTGTTCAAACAGTACTTCTGAGGGCTGTTATCATGGTACTCAGATCAAACGCTCACATTGGAGAGGTTTCAGAGAGTGACCCTGCATAAGATGTGAGGCCTCAAAATTACTATTTTTAAAAAATATATAGATTTAGGGCCGGCCCGGTGGCGCCAAGTGCTGATGCATCCCCGAGGACAGCGCTGCAGAGCTGAGAGGGGCCTGTGCCTTACCTGGCTTCTGTATAACTGCATTGCAAGCATTTG